CTCAAAAGAAAAAGGAAGAAAAGAAAAGAAATAAATGGCTGAGTGTAACTCCAGAGGGCGCTTTCCTTCTCAACCTTCCAGTCACAAGGCATAATGCACAGCAAAGTGCGCGCTGTCCCAAATAATGAAGCTACAATGGTCTCTGCCAATTTCCAATCTCTCTTCATGAGCAGTTATAGTACATAGTGTCCCAAAAGTTGCATCTACAGTCACCATACACAGAGTAAATGGGAAATTGTAGCTCTGTGTACTTTTATATACAATAAAATTATTAAAATTTTTTTTATTTGAGGCAGAGTCTCAAGCTGACACCCTGGGTAGAGTGCCCTGGCATCACAGCTCATAGCAACCAACTCTTGGGCTTAAGCAATTCTCTTGCCTCAGCCTCCCAAGTAGATGGGACTGCCACAACACCCGTCTATTTTTTGGTTGCAGTTGTCATTATTGCTCAGCAGACCCTGAGCTGGGTTCGAACTGCCACCCTAGGTGTATTCTGACCAGTGCCCTTGCCAACTGAGCTACAGGCTCCACCTACAACAAAATTTTATACAACTTTTACAAACTATTCTCTATGTATTGCCATCTCTTTGTCAAAGATTGTAATGAGTATTTTGTAAAGGTATATTTACCTACAATTTTCAATTTTTTCCTATGTATGGTGACTTTGGGGATAACCTGACACTACTTTGATAGGGCAGCAATCAGCTGTTCATTACCTTTCTCTGTCTTTCAATTGTCCTGATATCTTTAGACCTAAAACTGTCCCAAAGACTATGAGGCTAGAAGCTCAACCTGGGTGACAGATGTGCACTGAGACTGTCCTCATTTCTATTTTTCTGTTTCCGTAATTCTCATGAATGTACACAGGGCACTGGCTGTACCCCTGTATGTGCCAGATCCCAATCCGCAGGTCCAAATTCTGAGTCCAGGTCCTTAGACACTGCTACCTTCTCTCACCTTTGGAGAATTTAAAGTGCCGGCAAACTATGCCAGGCATCAAGATTGTGATTTGTGGTCTTCTTTGAACCAGAGATTTTTGTGTTGTTAACAAAGTTTTGAGCAGAGGGGACTCTGTGCTGTGTTTGCTTTCTCCACCTGAGGGCGCTACAACCTAAAAGGAGTAACAGCAGCAATAAGGGGAATTGTTAAACAAGTCACTTCATAGACTCACTCAAAACCTGTAAAATTTTAACTGAACCCAAGATTGACTGTTCCTTCCTGAAAAGTCA